CCCCCCGCAGCCCCACCACCACCGCAACAACGGTGCGGCCCCGTTTGAGTCGCGGAGGATAGGGCGAGTGGCGCATCGCCATACCAACACTCCTCTTCCTCCGCGACTCCACCTCGGCTGCAGCGGTAGGTGGTGAGGACACCCCTCTCACCGCAGTCCACCAACACACATCCGAAGTGGGCTTCCCAAGCCCACTCGGAGTGGCCACCTCGGGCCGGCCCTTCACCTCGGACCAGCCATGTGGGTTCCTCTTTGTTTCGCCGTGGGTGACCAAGCCACGGCTTCTAGCCCCCCCCGCCACGACAAGGCTGGAACCCGTTCGGGGGGGGGGGAACCTAACCTAACCTAACCTTTTTTTTTCTTTTTACGGGGGGAAATCCTCATGGACTGTCTCTGCCTGGGGAAAGGCGGAGGGATGTGCCGGACTCTTACCGGCTAAAACCACCCCGGTGTCTCCTCGCACGTGCACGCGAGGGGCCGCGGGAATCAAAATTCTTCCGCAGCCCTACACTAGTGCTGGCCCGGTCTGTACGGGCCTCATCTCCTGCACGGGGTAGTGAGGTGTTCAACTACCTCGTGTATCACAAACCTCAGAGGCGCGCGCCGACACCCACACGTGCCTCCGCCTCGGGTCCATCGAATAGGGGGGCGGGGGACTTGGGGAAGTCCAAAAGCAAAAAAAGGGATTCATGGGGGCGGGAAAAGGGCGTTGTCCACCCTTCTCCTGCGCCCGGTGCGCCTTCTGCGGCCAGGAAAGGGAGTCGAGATCTCCCTCTCCCGTTCCGCAGTTTCCTTCTGCGACATCACGTTCTCACAGAAGGACACCAATGCATCCCACGATTCTGCGCTGCGAACCTCAAGTTAATTTGATCTGGAATTTGTTGGGTGCCTTATGAACTTGAGTGGCTGTTATCTTCAACAGTCCGCTGGTTTGAGCTGTCGCCATAATCTTCCAAAAACTTCGCAATTTCATGCATCAGCATATTGTGAAGACAAAATATAAATATATATATATATTTTTTTTTTTTTTTAAAGAAGATTCTGAAAGAAATGATGGGCTCAGAAAGGCTAGAACCCAGAGCCGCAAAGCCAGTAAAAAAAATATCAAAGTCAAATGTTTGAGGTTATGTATTATTATTGTTAATTATTAAAATATTTGTATTTTTGTTTTGAAGGCACTTCTTTATAACATCGTGTTTTATTTTTTGGCATTTCGTGACATATTTGTTTCTTATAATTTGCCAATTACTACATAATTATTTTCTTTTTGGTAAAAACTGTAATTTCTACAGTAAATTTCATAAACATTTGCTATATTTGAAATACCATCCAAAACAATATTTGTTAGTTTTTCTCATTAGTTATATCGCTAACAAAACTGTGAAATAAGTGGTAAAAAAATGACGATGGCGGAAAATGCAACGCAACTTTCAAATACAAGCAAGAGTTCTTCAAGTAAGGTGAGTGTCTGCAGAAAAACTCGTATCCGAAGTCCGCGCCTATTTTCTTAAATTCACTCAGTATTTCGGTTGATTAAAACAAATACTAAAATAAAATTTAATAATTATTTATATCTTTCTTAATTCATACTCATGACATAATTCAAAATTATTAGAAGCTGTTACGCATTTATCTCTGCCTCTAAAACTTCCCTACAATACCAAAAACTTAAAAACATAGTTGTGTATAAAGGTACTCTGAAAGCATAAACTTATAATGCTAGGCTAGGCTGATATTAGGCTGGAAATCATGCCTGGAATTTGGGTCACACCTCTTGTTAATATTTTGCTAACTTTTGTTTTTAGAATTAAATAATACTAAGAATATTGTTGATGATATTCACTCAAATATTAAATATTTAAATAGCGTTTGTGAATGATCAATCAAATTGATTAAAAATACAACATATACCAGATTTCAACACCATGACCTTAGTAATTAACTACCTTGTATTATTGTTCAGAAGCTGTAATTTGTAATCAGCATCTAAACTGGTGAGAAAATAAATTATTTAAATGGTGTATTCGCATTAAATGGTCTGTGTATTTATTTAGTGTAAATTGCCAGAAAACTGTTTTTATATCTGTCTAAAATCAAGACATTTTTGTTAGTAAATATTACAGTGACATATTATTGTCATGTATTTAGAAAAATGTAGAGATAAGCATAGAGGTGCAATATCAGTTGTCAATGTTAAATATGCTCACAGCAATAATAAATGGCACCACAAATATAATTGTATTAAGCAATAACTGTGCTATTGCTATACCTTATAGGTGTTAGGTGGTTTCAAATAAAGGAGTCAAAGTGAAATAAAAGTGCAGTGTTTAATTTAATAGTGTAGAAGCATAGTGAAGTGAGTTAGTCAACATATGGTGCCGAAACCCAGGAACTGGACATAATTGTGAGTAGAGTGTGTAAACAGTGATAAGTGTTATGAACTCTAGACTTCATTACGAAAGGTGGTGATATACAAGTTCTGAACTAAGTATGACTAAGTTTTTTTCCATTTCTTGAGCTGATGAACTTGGTGATTGCCTTATTACAAAAATAAAAAAAAAAAAACTATTATTTTAAGCCAGGAAGACAAATTGGATCATCTTCAAAGAGGTTTTGCAAATTATAAAAAATCATATAAAAAAGAAAGAATAATGCTGGATTATATTGAAGCAAGATTAGAAAATCTAGAGAGGTTAAATACTAACTTTTTAACTGTACATGCGCAAATATTACAGACAGTTAAAAGGGAGGAAAAGGATACCATGGATTATTTCAAAAACGACATATACATACAGTTTGAGGAGATATATATAGAATATAAAACAAAATAAGAGACAATTTACGAACAAAGGTTTCACAAGAAAAGAGCTCTATCACAGAAATACTTCAACAACCTTTGCCATGTGAGGTAAAATTACCTCAAATAAAATTACCTGTGGGGCAGAAATGGCAAATATTTTATGATTTATTTCGTTCACTAATACATAACAACGCCAACTTAACACCCATTCAAAAGCTCCATTACCTTAAAAGTTGCTTGTCTGGTGAACTACAGAGTTTACTAAAGACTTTAGCTACAACTGATTCTAATTATGAAGAAGCCTGGAAACATTTAACACACCATTATCAAAATAAAAGATATATTTGCAATTAAATTATGAAGAGACTATTAGGTGTTAAGCTATTATTTCATACAACAAATTCTTGTTTGAAAGCCTTGAGCAATATTGAAGTTAAGGTGGCAGACTGGGACGTCTTCATTAATCAATTGGTTTTAACAAAATTAGACCATGAATCGAGAAGACTGTGGGAGGTACAAGTTTGCCAACTAGAATCTGAAAAATTACCATCCTGGAATTATTTAGCAAATTTTCTTGAGTCCAGATTCCGAGCACTCGAAATGATTGATACAGGAAAAAGTGTCACAAAAATGTCTAATAATAGCAACCTCAAACAAATGCAAAAAAAGGTATTGAATAATAATTGTACAATGTGCTCAGGACAACATTTAATATATCAATGTAAGCAGTTTGGAAAGCAATCTCCGACCGAAAGAATAGAATTTATTCAATCACAAAAACTTTGCTTCAATTGTTTATCACCTACTCACAATGTAAGATAGTGCCATCAAACCACATGCTATCGGCGATGTGGCAGACGGCACCACACACTGCTCCATATTGACAGATTCAACGACTCCGATAACAACATGAACAAGAGCCCTGAAACGAGCCAAACACAGGAATCAAAAAATCTATCAGAAGTTGAGAAAAAGATAGTAGCCCATTTTGCAAAGCAAGAGGATGAAATTAACGTTTTACTGGCTACGGCGATTGCCAAAGTCAAATCAACAAAAGGCTACTCTCAAATAATCAGATTACTGATTGATCAAGGCTCTGAAGCATCTTTTGTAACCGAAGCTACCATACAATTACTAGGTTTCCAACGCTTCTCAGTTAATGGTTTAGTATCAGGTGTTGGAGATGGACAAATGAGAGTCAAGCATATGATTCAACTAAGTTTGGAATCATTGTAAAATTCTGTGTTTTCTGTTCAAGTGAATACCTATGTATTGAGTACCTTGACATCGTTTCTACCGTCTACTGAAACCAAAATCCTAAACAGGCCTGACATTGAAAACTTGCCCTTAGCTGATCCAAAATATGGTTCACCTGCAAAAATAGATATAGATTCTGGGTGCTTATATTCACGGTGAAATAATGCGAGAAGGTTTAATCAAATGCCCATCTAAATACGGACCCATATACATAAACACTTACGCCTGTCACCCAGAGGGTAGGCAGAGACTAGAGACTTCCATTTAGCACGATCGTGACACCTCTCTCGCCTCTTCCACAACCATATACCTACGCATACATGCTCGTCGGTTAAGGGTACTCTTAATTTGGCCCACTTTTAGTATATCGCCAATTTGGTCGACAAACTTCCGCCTAGGACGTCCCTTTCTGACTCTTCCATTCACTTCTGCAACATATATTTGCTTTGTCAGTCTTTCCGCATTTATTCTTTCTACATGCAAACCACCGAAGCATTCCTTTCTTAATCCTGGTCACTGCATCATCTTGCAAACCACACTCTTCTTTTATCACACAGTTTCTCACCCTGTCACTCAGATTCAGCCCTAACATACTCCTTAGCGACCGCATTTCTACTGCATTTATTCTACTCTCGTGCTTCTTCTGCCACACCCAACTTTCACTACCATATGTTAAAGTAGGGACTAATACAGCACTGTGAATTGCCATACGTGCCTTTTTTTCACACATTCTGACTTTTCACAATAGAATGTAGAGCCCCATTTACTTTATTTCCTGCATTCACTTGTCGTTCAATATCCTTATCATATCTCCCATCCCTGTTGAATACACATCCCAAATATACGAACTCATCCACTTACTCAATTAACTCTCCTTCTTATTTCAAATACTGTTTTGCTTTCTTCTCTTTCAAAAACCATCGCTTTCGTCTTACTTGCGTTCACTTTCATTCCCCTTTCTTTTAATGACCTGTTCATTAATGTAACCATCATTTGTAACTCGGCCGCCGACGACGCAAGTATGACTTGATCATCGGCGTACAAAAGGCATTTGATGATTAACTCACCCATTCTTAACACGCATTCTTCAACTTTCTAATTTTCCAAACAACTGTCCATAAATAGGTTGAACAGCCACGGGGAGCTACACAGCCCTGTCTGACACCTTTATGGATGCCAAACCAGTCCGAGTAGACCCCGTTGATTCTAACACAAGCACTCGAGTCCCTGTACAGAGACTTTAATGCCCGTATTAAACCAGCGCTCAACCTAAATGCGATCAGTGTTTGCCATAACACATCCCTGTCCACTCTGTCATAAGCCTTTTCCAAGTTCATGAATGCACAAAAAACCTTTTGGTTTTTCGCCAAAAACTTCCCCGTGATCATGCCATCTATACACCCTATTCCCTTTCTAAATCCCGCTTGCACATCCCGAATTTTTCAATCAGTTTCTTTCATAACTCTTTCAATTAGTACCTTAGCATACAGTTTTCCCACAATGCTAAGAAGGCTGATACCACGGTAGTTTTTACAGTCCTGCTGTGACCCTTTTCCCTTATATATTGGGACTATCACGGCTTTGCACCAGTCTCCCGGTACCCGCTTTAGTTCCCAACATAAATTAAACAAGGTGTACAGCAGGCCTGCCACCACTTCCTCTTCGGCCCTTAGCATTTCGAGTGAAACTCTATCATATACGGCTGCCTTACCTACTTTCATGCTTTTCATTGCTTTCATTATTTCGTCTATACTTATCTCCCTATCTCTTTCATCTTCTTTCGGAATTTCTATTTCATTTAGTTCACACGTCTCCTCACTCATAAATATGCTTTCAAAATATTCCTTCCATCTCTTTAGACTCAACACTTCTGTTGATGTTCGTGTGTGAGAATGTTAGTAATGGAGTGGGTTATGCTGGCTGGATGTTAACTGGAGAGCATGCAGTAGCAGTTAGATGAGCAATAAATAACACTTCTTCAGAGTTTCTTCTTATTTATTTTCTTGATGCTTTATTCTTACATTGCCGGATTTGGAATGTTTTACCACAAAAAACGCCTCTTTTATAGGCAGCTGTGACCAATCAGAATTAATAAAATTTGCACACGGCACTAATGAATTTGCACACGGCACTAATGATTCCTGTCGACCAATCAGAGCGCAGAACGACCTTTTCTAAAGGAAATTTACAATTTTTTTTAATATGTGTGGTAAAACATACCTTATAATGTTTTTATACATTCCTGGCAGTAGAGATAACTTATCTTTATTATTTCGAACATTAAACATTCATAAAACTCTTAATTTACGTTTGTAAAAATTAAAAATAGTGGCGCGGTGTTCCTACGGTTTAGCTCCGTAGTAGCTAAGCTTTTTTCGCTTAACACACAAGTAGCGCCGCCAG